ACACATGTCTGGAGGAAAAGGAGCACAATGCAATCTATGATGGGGGGAGGGCGGGCACACTTGAGCATGTACGCACGGAGTTACAAAGAAATATCTCAGTAATAGCCTTGTCTATAACTGAGAAAAAGTGCAATCAACCTGCTTAGAAGGGGAATGGACCAACACACTGGGTTTACATTATCAGCAGGCTACCATACAACAGTTAAAATCAACTACATCTACACATAACAGCACAGATCAGTCTCAAGATGGATCAACAGTGAGCGGAAGGAAAACGGTCCGTTGCCAAAGGATATGCAGATGACACTGTTGCTACTGGGTGCCACTCGGTCAGCTCCACCTCACAGCAAGTCCGTGCCCCTGGGTCTGAACACCGTATGTAACCTTCACCTTCCGGTGACACCTCAGTCACTCTGGGGCCACTCAAACGGCCACGGCCTTCTAATCGGGCTCCCTGTCTCCCAACCTGCCTCACTCACGCTGCCCTGCACATGGCCACCAGGGATCTGTCCAACATAGGACAGTCAGGCCCTTCCTGGGCAGGCTCCTCCAGACCTCTCCACCTCCACTCTGGCCACTCCTGACCCCACACTTCACTTATGTCATCTCTTACCACCCTTTCCCTGATTTTGGGCACTAGGAGTTTACAGGCAGCACAGCATCACTGGTAAACTAGATGCCGTTCTCTCTCAAAGTCATTTTTAATCAGAACAAATTTCAAACATCAAATTATCAATATGAAACCCAACAGGTAGCTTAAACATTCACTGTGTCCTGGGTGTGCCATGTGACTGGACCAAAAACCATAGTCCATACTTTAGATTCAAACATAATTCATGCTCCAACCAAGAAATATGGTTCTTGTTAACTGAACCATGTGATTAATATTTGTATTTATACTTTCAGGATAATTGTTTCTTTATGCTTTGGAATTAACTGTGTCTATATCATTCAAACAGCTGAAATGCTGTAATGAATACATTTGCTCATAATTACATCCCATGTGTTAATGAGCTCAATTCACTTTCCCCTCCAACTTCTAAAGTTCCTTTCTGTTCCAGAAAGGTTGTGGAAGAAAACAAATGGAATATAATAGGAGGAACTGGTATGACTTACTGAAAAGCTTGGATTAATGTGACGATATAAATGAAACTGGATTTGGTGAATGGCAGTGTGTGCGTCCCACAGACCTCCCTCGGGCACTGGGCAGGGTGGGGAAGGGCAAAGCACCGAGGGCAAAGCACCCAGAGGCCAGGGTTCTGATCTTGGCTTTGCTCACTTCTTATACTCTGCCACGAACCCTTCAGTCATTACCAAAACCAAACCCACTGCCATCAGGTCAATCCAACTCATAGCAACTCTGTAGGACAGAGAACAGGCCCACGGGTTCCAAGGCTGTAATGTAATCTTTCTAGAAACAGATTCCCACACCTGTTTCTCAAGGAGCAGCTGGTGTGTTAGAACCACTAACCTTCAGCTAGCAGCTTAGCTACTTAGCTACTGTACCACCAGGGCTCCTTGGCTGTACCATTAGGGAGCTGCAAACCAAAACTACAATGTGATACCACATTGCTAAGATTACTACGGATGGCCAAGATTAAGTTAAAAATCACACAGGAAACAACGATCGTTGGTGAGATGTGGAGAAATGGAAAGCTTTGTCCATTGCTGGTCAGAATGTAAATGCTACAGTCACTGTGGAAAACAATTTGGTTGGTCCTCAAAAAGTTAAGCACAATATAACTACCACATGACCCAGCAATACTCCCAAGAGCCATGAATCGGGCAACAAGTAGAGACAAAAGTACCCCAATGTTCACTGCAGCACTAGTCACAGTAGCTAAAAGGTGGGAACACCCTAACTGTCCATCAAGAGATGAACAGATAAACAAAGTCTGGTGGACACATCTAATGACGACTACTCAACCATATAGAGAAGTGAAGTCTTGATCCATAACAAACAGCTCAGGTTGAAGTCAATCTCTCTCTCTCTCTCTCTCTCTCTCTCTCACACACACACACACACACACACACACACACACACACACACACACTATTGTATGAGTTCACTTCCATGAAGTAACAATAAAAAGTAAGTATACAGAGACACCTTTCCTCCCTCCTCTCCGCAGTGAGTTTCTGTTCATGGACATGGGAAATGTGATGGAGGCTGTGGGTGATGAGTGCAAAAGATGAGGAATAGAATTGTTATCACTAAATGGAACACCAGAAAAACAGTGAATTGGCCAATGGTATATACACATACGTTTACAACATTAAAAAACCTGGGCTGAAGTCCATAGAAATAACATGACATATAAGAGTTGTAACTTACTAATCCTTTCTGAGTCTTAAATACCTCATCTGCAAAACAAGTCTAATCGTCTCAACCCTGGGCTATGAAATATTCATGCTAGAACACTTTGTGAAACTGTGAAATACAATAGGCATCTAGGATCCTAGCATTACTGTCGTAAGAGAGCCTATGAATTTTAACCAGCAGTCCTAGAAGCAAGGCATGTAGGTGCTCCTGAAGCAGACTTGAAACATCGATTACCTTCATTTGTGAGATCCTGAAATTTTACACCAGAAAGAACAGTTTGAACAGCCTCCTCCATATAAACCACATACGCTGTCTGTGAATCACTTTCATCTCCAGATTAGCAGGGCTTTCCTACAGCGAAGTCTGGTTAAGCAAACATCTGCTGGATCCTTGAAGAGTGATTCTCTCCCCTCCCCACAGGTGGCCTTTGAATTTGTGCCCTGAAATCAGTATGCACAGAAAATGTTGCCTTTCACATATAGCCTTTCAGTGTCCTTGAGAGCTTGAGTCTCCTCTTAGTTGGGGAGAAGTCAACTCCACGCCAGTCAGTGCTTCGATTTAATGAAAGTGACAGCAACTGCTTCATCACTGTCAGGGAGACACTGATTGAAAGGACACCTTTTTCCCGTTATTAATATTCTTAATTAAGGCATAAAATGAAGCATATGTTTTAGTTGAATTGAGGCCCGTGTTCTGTTTTCTCAATTACTTACTTTTCAGCGCAGTGGCATAGAAGAGGCACAAAATCCAATTCCAAAGTCAGAGATTCTGCCCAGGAGACCATGGACCAAGTGCTGAGGGCAGACATCTGCTCGGGTGGCCGCCTCTGACAAAGGCAACCACTTGTCAGGCCCGGTGGGCCAGAGAGGACACAGACCCTGGTGTTCCTACCATCTTGACCAGCGACGAAGACTTTCCCTCTTCCTGGTTTGATCTAAATGACCTTGCATCTCTAAAAGGTCAAGAGTATCTTTTTTTTTTTTT